AATTCAGTGAAGAGAAAATGAAAGATGAGTATAAAACCGCCAGTTAAACTGTGCAAAAGGCTAATGACTGTCTTCTGCTTGGCTGAGCTTCGGGGCATCACCAGCGACTGGGAAGAGCCGGGCGCACGGAGTCCGCAGAGTGCTCTTCGGTCTGGCCACTTCCTAGGTGTCAGTCCTATAGCAAATAATTTCTCTTCCACTGAGTTTCATTTTTCTCAGAGGCAAAATGGCACAACAGGGCACAACAACACTGACCTAGAACAGAGGCCAAGCCTCTGGTGTTTGCGAATGGTTCAGGAACGAATGGATAAAATGTTCTATAATCTATGTCAGGACTAACAGTCCACCTCAAATTGTTCCTCTTTCTTTGAATTATAATTGATAGTATTTTTATTTGTAGCTCTTCTTTTGCAATTATCATCCATATCTGCCCGGGTTTATAGTGTCTAGAAACAGGGATTGTTTATTATCTTGTAAAGTTTATGCTGGCAGAGGGTATGTTTTTTCTTCTTAGACAGTAGCACTTTTACAATCCAGAGATTTATGTAAGAGAAAGTTGGTCAGTTATTATGGGTGATACACAACTACTATGTTTGGCTCAGGACTAAAAATGGTTGCCTTTGAGTCTAAAACAGAACTCAATGCATGCTCCACCACTCAAAACTCACTGTTGCTTTTATCCCCAACTCAAAGCCATTCTCTTTCCCCGACCCCCAGTTAGCAGGAGGGTGGGCTGTATGAACCATGATCCTCAGAGAGACTCTGAGGTTGGATTTCTCCATAGCTCTCTTACTAACAGAATGGGTCAGTCCACCTGTGAGTCCTTCCTACTCAGAGGCAGGGAGAATGTAAACAAGTATGGCGTCCTACAGTCCCCTGGGTTGGGCATCCCTAAACACATATGTCAGACAGTTAAAGGGCTAAAAGGCGTGGTGAACCTGCACACAGGGGTTGTCCTCTTCAATCCCCACTGATGGACAGACAGGACAAGCATGGGGTCCCCTCACTCCATCCAGGCAATGATGGCTTCCTCAGAAGGAGGAAGGAGAAGGAGCTCTGCAGGGTTCTTCTTCCTTCTCTTCCTTCTCCCACCTCCTTCAAGCAACCATCGCACGCACAGGGAGGTGGTTAATCCTAAACCATGCCTTTCCCCAACTGGCACTGGAAGCACATTTGCATGACACCTTAAAACTAGCATTTTGAAACCTCTGGGTGATCCAGAGCTCAGGAAATCGTTTGCTCAAACCAAAGAAAGACCTGCTAGCCTTTCCACCTCTGGGCCAGCTGTGCAGCAATCATACACACGTAGCTGCAAACTACTGTGACTCTAGGTGTAGCCTCTGATTTCAAAAGCCCAACTATTTGGAACTAGATTATTTCTTTTCCCACAAGACTAGTAGTTCCACTACAGAAATCCAGGCTATTTTTCTTTTCAATTCCCTTGGGAGTTGAGATGAAACCAGGGAAAAACTGAAACTGGAGCAGCTCTGGATGTGCACACCAACACGTCTCACTGGTTCAAGGGAAGGAACTCTCCGGCAGGACACTTTTCTGTGCACTTTGCTTTCGAAGGCCACGCTGCCTTCGGGACAGGCAGGGTCCTTGTGGTCTCCAGTGCGGCCTCCTAGCTGTAGCGAGTGACTGGAAGGGCAACACAGAATTCTTGATCTTCCTGAGGTGCAGAAGTAGCAGTGACTTCGCTGACACGGAAGACACTGGAAACACTTCTAAACTTGAGAGACAAAGGCTACCCAGGGCACAAGGCGGTTACCCGCTGCCTGGAAAGCAGCTATGCCTGAAGTAGGTGTGAGTGTAATCAAATCTATTTAAATCAGGTTTTAAATTAATAAAGTGAATGAATCTATTTAATCAGATTTTTATACAAAAAGAAGTGTGTTTTTTCTTCCAAAATTCAGGTGAACGTAACTTCATTTTCAGGTGACACATTTTATATATTTAAAGTAGTAAATTTAAAGAATCCACACTCAGAAGAGTATCCCCCAGACTACTACAAGAATCAGCGCAAACAATAAAACTTCCTTGATACTTTCAAATTTGTTGTTTCTTCTTTTATCTCTGGATTTGCTCTGATTGCTCAGATTACATTATTATTAAGAATTATCTATTCATTTGTCTGCTTGACACTTTACACTTCTGGAGAGAAAGCCAGAAAATGGTTAGCTTATCTCCATTTGATGCTATTAGCAAGCATGATTTCCACAAATAAAATCCCTAGCTGGAAAAGAGAAGCCCTTGTTTCTAGAATGTGTAATAGGATTGCTTTTAATATTTTGCTACATACCATAGTGATTTCCACTGGCTCTTATTACCCTTTCATTTGGCTGTCATTCATTCATTTGTGCCTACAGCTAACAGTTCTGAAGGGCTTACTATGACCTAGGTATAAGTTTAGCACAGATCATGATTTTGGCCTGACAAAGACTACAGTTCAACAGGGAACACAGTTCCTACAACAACTACAAACTGCAATGGCAGCTTTGAAAAAGCCCCTGGCAATCAGCCATGAACTCGGGTAGGGGTGCATAGAGTAGCTCTTTGGAAAACTACACTACTTCCTTACAGCTTATTCATGAAACTTTCTAGCAGGTGGCACACAAACACACTGACTCAATCAAATACTCTGTCCATTCCAAGGAAAGGTATGGAAAAAGAAGGTTCTGGATGCAGACAGACCTCACTGAGATTCCTGATATAACCACAAAACCTGGAGCAGCTCAGAGTGGGGGCCATGTCCACACAGGTACACACTACTAGGCCAGTGTAACGTGCACGAAGCACAATATTCAATCAGTGACTGACATCACATCATTCAGAACTGATGCGGACTTATATGTGAGCTTCGGCATTCAAAATAAAGTTCACTTCCCATACAGAGTTCTGTCTTCAGAAAAATCCACAACCAAAGGAAGGAAGTAAAGACATCCATCTTACAAACAAACACCGTGATGTCAGAGTCCTTTCTCTGCTCATATGCTTATCAGGAATCATTTGTTTATACAACAGAGGAACTCCTCTACCAGACTGACTTGGCATGGGTAAGCAAAGGAAAGAGCTGGCACACTGTGCTCAACAGTCCTCCAACAGCAACTGGAAAAGATTCTGAATTACAGCTTCTGCTAAGGGTGAACTCCCTTAAGGCATTAGGTGATTTTGAAGTCATTAGGTGCTTGACTGAGGATACAGGCAGAGCCCTTTAGTGACAGCTAGAACCCGTATCACCGTCTACGAAGTATTTCCTATCTCTTAGTCAGCATCCCTTAAATTCATCCCACTATTTGGAAACACCCACAGGAAAGAAAAGTCCTGCTCAATATTTTGCTGGACACCGGGCTGTGACCTTGGCCCATTGGGGCACCCAGCAAAGCCTAGCTTCCAGGAGCCCCCCACTCACTGGTAGGCCTTACAGGGAATTCTGTAAGTCCTTTTGGCACAATATATGTGTCAAAAAATTAAAAATACATATGGTTTGTATTTCTAAATTTAAAACATGAATAATTTTACTACGTTCTGAAAAAGGAACAACTTTTTTTGGGTTGGGGGTGGCAAGGAGAAAGAGAAAAAGCTCATCATACAGCCCTGTTTGGCCTTGAACTCAGAGATCATCTGCCTTTGCCTCCTGAGTACTGGTAATAAAGACGTACAACACTATGTCTAGCTGGGACCACTTTGGTGGGGGGGGGGACACAAAAACGAGATTACATTAGCATAAGGTCTTGCAGAAGGTTAAAAGAACTAAGACAACAGTTAATTCTGTCACCCTTCACTTGACTCCATTTATTAAGCCGTACTGTCTGCCTGGGATTAGGAACCTAGATTAACTCTCTTGTAGTTGTTACATGCTAGAGCCCAATCCCTCATGACTCACTTTGCCTGGGTAGAGGCTGCATGGCAAGCCCACTGCTTGGGCAACACCACATTTCCTGAGCCAGCCCTGAGCTCCCAAAGCTCTGCTGTGAACCTGGCCTGACTGATGAAGGTCACACATGCAGTGGCCTGCCATAAAGGAGAGCCTTTTCAACCCCTAACCTCAAACCCAAGTGCACAGAGACTTCCAAAAGGCTTCCTCTGTCTCCTCTCAGCCAGAGTCCTTTGATTTCCCTATGACCCTCTTGTTTGTCTGAGCTGAAAAGCTCACAAATGAAGCAGATCACAGAAGTTCTGTAGAAGCCAGAGGCATTTGTAAGATAAAGGGTCAGAGGAGGCTTTTGATTGCTTCTAGATCAATATTTCCAGAAAATATATTTTTTTAACTTAAAAGAAAAACACATCACCCAGATTCAAAGGAGCTCTAGGTCAGGGGTAAGACCTTCTACCACACTGATATTCAAAATGAGAAATAACTCTAGGTCACTTCTGATGGTGACGATGAAGTGGCAGCCCTTGAGAGGCCAAGGAATTGAAGACTGAGAACTGATGGAAACCACACTCCAGGCAATGCAGCTGGGCAGAAAAGGACGCCCCAGGAGTAGCCAGTAAGGCTTACACCTGTTCAAGTGAGAGGGATTCAGAAAAGCTCCAGCAGAAAGATGGAGGAAGTGGTTGCTTCACACAGTCCACCAACTGCTGTCTGGGTAGCTCGGCCCTTTCGAAGCTTCCAGAAGTCACTCCATCACACGGTAACCCCGTCACCTAAGGCGGTCTCTGCTACATCCTTTTTTGCCTGCACTGAGTTTGATATAATAACTAACGCCTAGTGGGCACAAGCACAAAAATGTCAACTGAATGAAAGAATAAAAGAATGTGCCACACCTGTAATCCCAGTACTTACAGGTAAAGGCAGGAGAATCATGAGTTCAAGGTCATCCTCAGGTACATTTGAGGTCAACATAAGCTGCCTGAGACAATGTTTCAAAAAAATAAAAAATGAAAATAAAAAAGAAAATAGCCCTTATGGATTCAATTGCAATCACAGTGCTCCACTGAGAAATGCTTTCTAATTCACAAGGCACTTGTCTTCAGCACAGAACTTTTCAACTTACTTTTTCCACGTCTAGATCAGCATCCTGTTCCTTCCAGACACTGAAGAAAAAAGAAAAAAAAAAAAAAACACATTAAAAAAGAACCAAATGTTTTTAGTATGTAAACCACCACAAAGTACCACCATATAGTTTCCATGTGCTGCAGATGATTAATTTGCCCACTACTTCACATAATCGCTGATGTTGCCACAGACACCTGCCTGCAACTGCAAAGACCTGCCACCAAAGGAAGCCAGCATAAGAGCTTAACTTCTAGGGACAGGAAGGACAAAGGGTGGAAATAATGAAATTACAACCATGTGCTCGTGCACACACATGAATCCCTTCTCGGAGTCTCTAAATTCATCCATGGCTGGGGCTCAGTAAGATGGCTCACACCTGCCATCTAAGCACTCAGGAGGCTGATGCCAGCCAGGGACCACTCTGGGTCAAGTGCAAGTTTGGCTACACAGCGAGACCCTAATCCAAAGGAAAAAAAAATACAACAAATCTCTCTCCAGGCCCGAGGCCAAATTAGCTCAATTCTCCTGTCTTTGTCAAACTAGGCAGTCTTTTCTTTTCCTTCTCGAGACAAAGTCTCACTATGTTATCCAAGCTAGCACTGAACTCAAGCTCCTCCTGCCCAGCCCATGGATGCTCTGAGACTACAGGCATGAGCCACAAAACCTGCTGCAAGCCAGCACTTTGCAACAGCCTGGTTCCCCAAAGCCCTGCAGGTCTACTACCTATTAAACTCGGCATGCTTAGTTGAACCCAAGATGACCCTAGGACCTTGGGACATAACTCCTGGCATGACTGGGTCCTGATTTTGATGCTACCCATGCCCACTTCAGCCTGTCCTTTAAAGTTTGAGGGGTGACAGAGGAGACTTCCAGGTTGTGTTACACTCTGCCTACAACCTGTAGTATTATGGTGTGTGGCTTGTTACTTGCCTTTAGCTGTCTGAATAAACGTTCTGTTTTAGTAAAGTATCTTAAAAGAACAACAAAAATGGGTGAAAGATTTAAGTAGAATGTGTAAAGTCAGAGTTGAGGAATCTGAAGGAAAAGGAACAGAAACATTTATCCTTCCTATCCTAGTGTGACTTATGCTTTTGCAGTATGGTCTTTATTGTCTTTCTTCCTGGTCCATGGTTTAAAACACTAACATAATGAATTACTATTCCCATCAAAAGCATCCCCTCCCACATATACGAAACACAATTTTCACACTGTTTGAAAAGATGCATAATTAACAGAAGCATCGTTTCATTAATCAGAGATGACTCCAAATGGGGAAGGGGGCGGTAACCATGGGGAAGAGAATTAGAAAAGCGTATGTTACCCTCTGCAGATGGACATTCAAATCATGAACCCACTGCAGACAAGCAGGAGGGGTGCTACCATTGAGGCCCATCTCTCCGGCTTTTGAGATATGCTGACCTGCCCAAACCATGATGACACCACAGTCTATGGCCTCTGTGCCAGCTAACCCACTGGGGATGGACACTGCTGAGCTGTGTGACACTGGGGTCGCATCTGCCCAGGAACTCTACCAGGAACTCAGCTCCTGATAAGCAGAGAAGGGTAATTCCGTGCCACATGGATGTCCAGCTGATGGTAGCAAACTCTGCCTTCCTCTAACACTTCCACACAGGTCAGAGCAGAGGGCTTTCTATTTTCAAATCAAGCGACTCCTTCATCTGATAAAGAACACTTCAAGAGTGCTCACCTTTTCCAGCAGAGAAGGGGATTTAATCTCTCTCTCATGCTGCAAAATTGCGCAACACCAGATGCCCAATTCATAGCAGACTGTGAAAGAACGCGCCTTCCTTGCACAACACTCCGGCAACTGGTACCAACAAGAAAACTGAAAGCCTATTTGGAGCCGGAGCTGCTGGCTCCCTACCTCATAGTCTCATCCATCCATATACACAGACAGTACCATCCAATTTCTTTTTCCGGCTTATTAAACAGATGGAGTTAACTAACAAAGAGTCTATGAATCTACCATAAGCCCAAAGGGAGATGCCACAGTTTTGACTTCAAAGCCTCCCATGCAAGACAGCTTGGCATACTTTTATGCATCAACTACCTTGTTTCAAAGAGAATATGGATGGGTAAAAAAATGTAAAAGAAAATTTTATGTGGCAGCCTCATCTAGAATGAAGAGTACCATTTGCCTCCAAAACCATACATTGTTTCTCTTCAAAGCTGTGTTTTTGAAAGTTAGACTAAGTTTTATCTATAAAATGTTTAAGTGAAATAGAAATATTTTAATTAAAAATGATCTCTTCATTTAAAAAAACTGACCAACTATCCTGACTTATCTATACCCAAGTCTGACTGTAGGAAATCCAAATTTTAAGTTTCCAATCTTAAGGCAAGATAAATCTTCCTATGTGTGCCAGTAGATGGAGTCATGCATATGTAGATGGAGTCATGCATATGTAGATAGAGACATGCATATGTAGATAAAGGTATGCAGTGACAGAGTAACTAACAAAACTGTACTTGTTCACACATTATAAATAGTTGCCTGCATACTCGGTGGTGGGATTTGGAATAGTAGGATAGTCCCCATGCTTTTATTCCGTGCTGTAGGAGTACTGAGGTTCTGGATCACAGACCTCGCTAAAGTGACCCTGACACCCATGGAAAAGGATGATCATAAATGCCCAAATATGTGGTCTACTGCAGGAATGGAGACAAAGGACAGATCCCACCAAAGCCGTAGTACAAATCCTACCAAAGCTACTTACATACCCAACCATTTAGGCCACATAACGCTCCATCAAGCTTTGGGGGCAGGGGAGATACATAAACACTGTAACAAGGAAACAAGATCTGGGTGTGAAGGCACAAGCTTGTAACCCCTGCACTTGGGAGGGGTGGTAGGAGGGCCAGGAGTTTAAGCTCATCCTTGGCTTCATGGTGAACCGGAGGCCAGCATGACCACAAAAGACCCTGTCTTTAAAAACAAATACTAACTAAATAAATGCCAAGAGTTGTCAGCGTTGCAGTCTCTTGCCACGGCCATCTTCCAGCTCTCGCTGATCTGGAACTGCCAAGCGCCTGAACCGTGGAGCAGGCACACAGAGCAACCAGTACATAGACAGAGGAACAAGGTAAATGGCTGAGTGGCTTGGTAGACCCTGGGTAGACAGACGCTGAAAAGCTGAGGGCAGGTAGCTGTGGACAGCAGGCTGGGAGAGGAGGAGCAGGCCAGGCTGAGGAGTCATGGGAGGTAGGAGCACGCCACTGCTCCGGGGTGTCGGGATTCCATCTCCCCTGTCCCAGGAAGGCACAAAGAGACATGCAGCCCACAGGCTTTTACTACGCTGGGCTGAGCACCATCATCCCCGTCTCACCCGGCCCTCGGGGTAAGTGTAATTTTCTACTCATCAGTCTGCAGTCATCTTTGAGCCTTCCTTTGCCCACACTTCTGTGTAGAACAAACTTTCCCCACTGCCATGTTCTTACTCTGTTTGTCACTGTTTTCCTGTTAGGCTGGCAGTGCAAGGGGGAGTTCTGAGTGTTGTGCCCTCTGGCACACAGGGGCCGCTGTACTGTCCCTGCTGACAGATGAGAGCACTGGTGACAAGGCAGGTGGTGACAGTACATTGTACAAATCACCAAAAATGATTTGTGGGGGAAAAAAAATTTCCCAATAGGATGTCGCCATTTATTTTCATCTTAGAGCCTCGGGACTCACTTTAAAGAGTTAAGTTGTCTTCTGGGTAGTTGTAGGTTGAGTTTGTGGAGGACAATGCTAGCTATACACTTTGCCTCCCCACCCCCACCCCCACCCAACACACACACACACACACACACACACACACACACACACGCACACCACTCTTCATACAGGAAGGAGTGAGGTTGGTTTGACTGTGCAGGCAGTGACTGAGAAAAACGAGGTGTGCTTTTCCCCTATCATAGCGTCTTCTTCATTCCACTTTCATCCCTTCTCACTGCTGGCAAGAGGTTTAAAATATTCATTGACCTGCCAAAAACCATCTACACATTACTGGACACACAGTCACATCTGAATGGCTTCTTTCTGCTCCACTGATCACAGCTCTATTCAGCCACAACTAAAGTGGGAACCTCAGAGCCGTACGTGGTGTGATGTCAGTGGCAACAGAGGATAAAATAGCCATTTGATAACAACTTCCATATCACGCCTGTCAACGGAGACAAGTGTTCCTTCGGTTATTCTTAACTTAGACTCCAAAGCACAAAAAAGACCAGGCGGGGCCGGCCCCTGCTGTAACCCCACAGAAAGCTGAGGCCCAGACAGAATGCACACAGAAGCTCCTCAATACTCTCCAGTGCAGGGTGACCCTGGCTCCCTGCCAGGGGGCGGGGGCTAGGGAGACAGGAACAGGCCCACTTTAACAGTGGCTCCCCCAGGCCTGTGCAGCTGCAGACAGACATGCAGTGTCTGGAGTCCTCCCACATTCATGGACACCATGATGGCCTATGTGCCCAATAGCTGGATCAGGCCCAGAGACAAGTCCCAGCTCAGACAAGGCCCTTTATAGCAGGGTTTTTCCTAAGAGCCCCATTTCCCTAAGAGAACTAGATTTTCCGCTAATCATCTATTCTAGACCCAGCCTAGCTCATTCTCCTAGGTTGTGCTAGACACACAGACCTAACAGGGTTAAACTCGGTGCCAACCTCTTCTCCTGACTCCCCCACTCCAGTTCAGGCAGAGTGATAAGTGTATGTCTAAATGGTGGCTTGGGGCAGTGACAAAGCTGGAGCACAATGATGCGGCCTACTGGCATCAAGGGGAAAAAGCCTAGTCTGTAGTAGAGGCAAAGATGGCTGCGGGAATACCTCCAGTCTCCCGTGCTGGAGTTCAACACAGGCTTCAACCAACACTGCGCGTACTCATTTCTTCTTTGTTTATGTAAGTAGATATACACTATGCCTCCTTAAGAAGGTACCACCTACTCACTGAGAATTTTGTAAACCACAAAAGTCAGGGGCTGAGGCTATGGCCTGGTTGGTGAAGTACTTCACTTACAAGCGAAGGAGCTGAGTTTAACCCTCA